CCCCATTTCCTCCCCATTTCCTCCCCATTTCCTCCCCATTTCCTCCCCATTTTCTCTCCACCCTGTCCCCATTCTTTCTCCATTTTCTCCCCATTCCCTCCCCTTTTCTCCCCATTCTTTTCCCATTTCCTCCCCATTTCCTCCTCATTTCCTTCCCCATTCCTTCCCCCTTTCCTCCCCCTTTTCTCCCCATTTCCTCCCCATTCCTTCCCCACTTTCTCCCCCATTTCCTCCCCACTTTCTCCCCATTTTTTCCCCATTCCCTCCCCACTCTCCCCCCATCCTCACTCCCATTCCCTCCCCATTCCTACCCCACTCCTCCCCATTCCGTCCCCATTCTCTCTCCATTCCTTCCCCACTTTCTCCCCACTCTCTCCCCATTTTTTCCCCACTCTCCCCCCACCCCCATCCTCACCCCCATTCTCTCCCCATTCCCACTCCACTACTCATTCTCACCCCATTCCTTCCCCCCTTTCTCCCCACTCCTCCCCATTCTGCTCCCATTCCTTCCCCACTCCTCCCCATTCTCTCCCCATTTTCTCCCCACTCTCCTCCACTCCTCCCCCATCCTCTCCCCCAGTCCCTCCCCATTCTCCCCCCATCCTCACCCCCCACTTTCTCCCCATTCTCTCCCCATTTCTACCCCCCTCCTCCCCGTTCCCTCCCCATTTTTCCCCCATTCCCTCCCCATCCTTTCCCCACTCTCTCCCCATTTTCTCCCCACTCTCTCCCCATCCTTTCCCCCTCTCCCCCCCCACTGTTCCCCCACTTCCCCCATCCTCACCCCCTCTCCCCCCCCATTCCTGCCCCATTCCCTCCCCATTCCTACCCCCCTCCTCCCCATTCCCTCCCCATTTTTTCCCCATTCTCTCCCCTCTCTCTCCCCATTTTTTCCCTACTCTCTCCCCCCCTTTTCCCCCACTCCCCCCCCATTCCCCCCCCCATTTTCTTCCCATTCCCTCCCCATCCTTTCCCCCTTTCCTCCCCACCCTCTCCCCATCTTTTCCCCACTCACCCCCATTCTCTCCCCATTTTTCCCCCATTTTCTCCCCTTTTTTTTCCTCCCTCCCCCCCCCCGTGGCGGTGACCCCTGACAGCTCCGTGTCACCGCAGAGCCGCTGGCGATGCCGGAGGTGACGCCGGACGCGGTGTTGGTGGCGGAGGAGGACAACGTCACCCTGCGGTGCCACCCCCCCCCCGGCGCCGTCACCACCTGGTGGCACCGCGACGATGCGGCGCTGCGTCCCGACGGCCGCCTCTCGCTGTCGCCCGACAACCAGACGCTGACGGTGACGGCGGCGCAGCGCGGGGACGCAGGGTTGTACGGCTGCCTCGTGGCCAACGCCGTCAGCACCAACCGCAGCCGCGACGTCAACGTCACCATCGCCTGTGAGTGGGGCGGCGCGGCGCCGCTGGGGAGTTGCGGCACCGCCTGAGTGTGGCGTTGTGTTGTGTCGCTGTGTCGCTGTGTTGTGTCGTTGTGTTGTGTTGTTGTGTTGCTGTGTCTTTGTGTCATTGTGTCGTTGCTGTGTTGTGTCCTTATGTCCTTGTGTCATTGTGTCATTGCTGTGTTGTGTCGTTGTGTCGTTGTGTCGTTGTGTCGTTGTGTCGTTGTGCTGTGTTGCTGTGTTGCTGTGTTGCTGTGTTGCTGTGTTGCTGTGTTGTGTCGTTGTGTCGTTGTGTCGTTGTGTCGTTGTGTCGTTGTGCTGTGTTGCTGTGTTGCTGTGTTGCTGTGTTGCTGTGTTGTGTCGTTGTGTCGTTGTGTCGTTGTGCTGTGTTGCTGTGTTGCTGTGTTGCTGTGTTGTGTCATTGTGTCGTTGTGTCGTTGTGTCGTTGTGTTGCTGTGTTGTTGACCCCATTGACCCCAATGACCCCATTGCCCCCATTCCCCACATTGCCCCAATGTCTCCAATGCACCCACATTCCCATTGCCCCATAGCCCCCATCAATCCCATTGCCCCCAATGTCCCCATTGCCCCCAATGTCCCCATTTCCCCACATTTCCCCACATTTCCCCCCATTGCCCCCATTGCCCCCCATTGCCCCCATCGCCCTCAGTGTCCCCATTGTCCCCAATGCCCCCATCACTCCCAATGCCCACAATATCCCCATTGCCCCCAAAGTCCCCATTTCCCCCCATTGTCCCCATCGCCCCCTTTCCCCCCAATTGCCCCCATTGCCCCCAATGTCCCCATTGCCCCCATCACTCCCAATGCCCCCATTGCCCCCATTTCCCCCATTGCCCCCCAGTGCCCCCATCACCCCCTATGTCCCCAGCGCCCCCCACCGTCTCCCCACTCCCCTCGCAGTTGGCCCTGAAGATGTCACCATCACCCCCCCCGGTCCCCACCACGTCCCGGTCGGTGCCACCCTCACGCTGTCCTGCTCCGCCTCGGCCGCCCCCTGGCCCACCTTCACGTGGCTGGGCGCCGCCGGCCGCCATGATGGCCCCACTTTGGCTCTGGGTCCCCTGTCCCCAAACGCGGGAGGTGACATCGTGTGCCAGGCGCTGAACCCCTACAGCAACCACAGCCAGAACAGCTCCGGGGTCACCGTGTGGGTCTGGGGTGAGTGTGGGGTCACCCCGACCTTTGGGGTTGGGGTCAGTGTGGGGTCACGGGAAGCTTTAGGGCCCCCCTAGGGCCCCCTTAGGGCATCGTCTGCCCAAATGGGTTTGGGGTCAGTGTGGGGTCAGCAGCACCTTTAGGGCACCATGGGAGCAAATGGGTTTGGGGTTTGGGGTCAGTATGGGGTCACAGGAAGCTTTAGGGCCCCCTTAGGGCCCCCTTAGGGCACTGTCTTCCCAAATGGGTTTGGGATCAGTGTGGGGTCAGCAGCACCTTTAGGGAACCATGGGGGCAAATAGGTTTGGGGTTTGGGGTCAGTATTGGGTCACAGGAACCTTTAGGGCACCTTTTTGGGGCCCATGAGGTCAAATGCATTTGGGGTCAGTGTGGGGTCACAGGAATCTTTGGGTTTGGGGTCACTATGGGGTCACAGGAAACTTTAGGGCCCCCCTTAGGGCCCCCTTAGGGCACTGTCTGCCCAAATGGGTTTGGGATCAGTGTGGGGTCAGTTTGGGGTCAGCAGCACCTTTAGGGCACCATGAGGTCAAATGGTTTTGGGGTCAGTTTGGGGTCAGCAGCACCTTTAGGGCCCCATCGGGTCAAATGGGTTTGGGGTCAGTATGGGGTCAGTGTGCAATCAGCAGCACCTTTGGGGCACCTTTAAGGCCTCATGGTGTCCAATAGGTTTGGGGTTTGGGGTCAGTTTGGGGTCACAGGAAACTTTAGGGCACCTTTAGGGCCCCCTTAGGGCACCATCTGCCCAAATGGGTTTGGGGTCAGTGTGGGGTCAGCAGCACCTTTAGGGCACCTTTAGGGCACCATTTGGGCACCATTGGGTCAAATAGGTTGGGGTTTGGGGTCAGTATGGGGTCACAGGAACCTTTGGGGCACCTTTGGGACCTCATTGGGTCAAATGGGTTTGGGGTCAGTATGGGGTCAGCAGCACCTTTAGGGCACCTTTGGGGCCCCATTGGCCAAATAGGTTTGGGGTTGGGGTCGATTTGGGGCCACAGGAACGTTTGGGGCACCTTTAGGGCCCCATGGGGTCAAATGAGTTTGGGGTTTGGGGTCAGTATGGGGTCATAGGAGCCTTTAGGGCACCTTTAGGGCACCTTTGGGGCACCTTTGGGGCCCCATTGGCTAAATAGTTTTGGGGTTTGGGGTCAGTTTTGGGGTCACTGTCCCATTTGGGGCCCCTTTGTGGCGCCTTTGGGGTTTTTAGTGCCCCATGGGTTTGGGGTTCTGTGCTTATGGGGTCACTGCTCCCCTTTGTCCCCATTTTGTCCCCACCGGTCGCCATGTTGCCTCCATTCCGTCCCCATTGGCCACCATTTGGTCACCATGCTGGCCCCATTTCCTCCCCATTTCCTCCCCATTTCCTCCCCATTTCCTCCCCATTT